TATTGCTTAGAGGTTTTTAAACTTAATACTTTTGTTTTTAATCATGTATTAAACATTTATAGTACTCTCAAGTCAAAATTATAAAGCAAGGGACATTCAACAAAGCCAAGCTTCCTTCGTTGTCCCATCTCTCTCTCCCACACGTAATAATTTGTATTAGTTTTTCGTTTAGCCCACAGTTTCTTTAATTCTTAACCATATTTTTTTAACTCTTTTGTGTAGGCAGAAACGCGATTAGTATTATCATTTCCTTAATGGAGGAAGCTGCATTGTTCTGCTTAGATCAAGGGCATTGGAATCTCAATTGGGTGCTTCTTTTCCCCTGGTTCCACACTGTCCTCCACAGGTATCCTGAAGAATTGCATCAAGGAGATACAGCCATCTGGTCACCCTTATGTCAGCCATCCAAATTTAAGACTGCTTGCTTCAGTTATTACTTCTTCCACTCCAGAATTATGTAAAAGAGCATGCCAGCTATTTTTGGACTCCAGGTGATACTTGGTGTCTGGAGCTAAAAAAACACGTGGGTAAATATATGTGAAATAAGTGTCTGTGTATGCATGTGTGTGTGTGTGTGTGTGTATGTTGTTGCTGTTCTCAAGGAAACAAATTATCCCCCAGAGCTTTAATTTTCTGTGCACACCTACTATAGTGATGTGGAATTCACATACACAATGGCATTATCCCTGGATTCACCCTTCAGGCAAATGTGGGACCATGTAGAAGAGGAAATTAGTTTTGAAATTAATGAGGATGACAGTTCAGGAAACAACATAGCAGAACCTGTGAAGTCCCAGTTGGAGTTTGGGTACATTTAACAATAAAAACATGTAAAATGTTCCACGAGTTTAAAATGACTGCAGGTTTTGTTGTTGTTGTTTTCTCATTTAATTTAATTTTAAATTGTGTTGACAACTAGGAAGAAAACAGGGACTACAGCTTCCTTAACTGGGCGAGTGCACAAATTGACAGAGCAAAAATCCTACAGTATTATTCATCACCAATGAATAACGACCCGCACCCCTGTCCCCTCTACTTGAATCCCTCACTCACTAGAGACCTGGGGGAGCTGGAGATGCTGGGGTCCCAGCACTGGATCAGAGATGCCTGCAACCATCTAACAAGGATACATTTAAAACCCTGGGAATCATCTCTTCTGCTTTGTTTGGTTCAATGTGTTTGTAGAAAGGGGCCTGACACAGGCTCACAATAGAAGGAAAATGTGAGGTGACATTCCCAGCATTCCTTCTCAGCTTAAACAAAATCCTAGGATGCACCCCCATGTCCGTTGAGTTTTTGTTTGAAATAACATTTTCAAAAGCACAGCACTTGAATGTCACAGGTAGTTCACATGCATACAATGGAATTAAGTTGTTTCTTCTTTCAGCAATAGCAGCGGTGATAAAATGGCAGCAGAGAGCAGTGAGAAGCCGCGCTGTAGGTGGGACCTGGAAGAGTCACTTTTAAATGAGGGCCAGCGGCACAGCCTTCACTTGTTGGGGATGGAGTAGGAAAATCCAGAGGGAGCTGCCACGGGCTTGGGATGAGCCTGTCCAGGCTCAGGTCCCCCTCCCTGGACGCGCGGAGGGACCTGGGGGAGGCTGCTCATCTGAGCCCGTCCTCCTTCCTGCTGGTTGAGGGGCTGTCCTTTCCCACGACGGTCACAGCCTCTGGGTGACCGAGAGCAAAGTCGTCTCTTTACTGACGAGATGAGAGTGACGACGTTTCCAGCCCTGATGCTGGAAGTCCTTACTTCCTCTGGACCAGGGGCCTCAGGACCCCTAACTCTTAGGAATCCCACACTGCCTCATGACTTGGTTTTAAAGATAAAGTTCTTTTTTGGCAATCAAAGTCAGGCACATTTGCTAATTTTTTAAAAACTTTGGAAATATGAACTAACTTGTGTGTGAATACAAAATTGACAGCACCTGCATACCATATACGCTACTTTTTCACATTACACATGAGAATTGGTCCATCTTAAAAAGTGGTTTTTATCAATGACCAGTGTTTCAGTGGTTTTATGGATTCACAATACTTTTTAGTTAACTCTTTATTGTTGGGCTTTGAGGCAGGTTCTAAGGTATGATGACACACACATTAAAAAAACAAAACTCCATTGATTTCACTGGGGCATTTTTCTAGGAACTGTTACTATTCTGTCAAATTCAATGACTTTTTAAGCTTTTGGACAGACCGCTAAATGGGCCATGCCACTGCCATGCATACGCCCATTTTTCACAAACCCAAGAGTCTGGTCATTACAAAAAGAAAGGTGGAAAAAACTTGGTTATTTATTAAGGCTATTGAACCTATTTTCACATTTCTTAGCCATTTACAGTTCTTTTGTGAATTGCCTTTGTCCTTTCTCAAGTTTTCAAAATTGGGAAATCATGTTTTTATTCCTTAATATGTTAGGACTTTTTGCATTTGCACTATATG